AGCACAGATTCCCCATCATGCAGTGCTCCCCTGCTTCTCTGATCCCAGAATTCACTGCAGTCTCTGCTTCAGGCTTTCTGTTCTCCATCTCTCATGTAAATGAATGGTCATCTGGTTCCATCTCAGATGCAAATGAGACCTAGGGCAATTGTTTCACTCTTGTCACCCTTATCTGGAGGATCTTAGGTGTGTCTCTCACTGCATCTTAATCAGTTTCGTTTAGGTAGAGGAGGGGAGGGGGTGGGGGGTGAGTCCTTTGTGAGTCAGACAGGCTGTGTCCTGTGCCAGGGTTGCCCAAGAACACAGAGCTGAAATGTAACAGAACTTCATCTGGTTCCAACTTGCCCAACTTGTCACACTGTCTACATCTGCCTGTATCTGCAGCCTATCTTTAAGCATGACCATGCTTCCCCATAACTTGGTGTCGCCTGCAAACTTGGTCAGTGAGCTCTTCACCCCTGCATACAAATCATTGATAAAGATTTTGAAAAGTATTGAACCAAGCACCAACCCCTGTGGTACACCGCTGGCCACTTCTCACCAAGACAACGCAGATCCATTCATGAGGACTCTCTGGGTCCTTCCCCACAGCTAGCTTCATACCCACCAAACTGTCTTGCAGTTAATCCCACAATCCTCCAGTTTTCCTGTGAGAGCATTGTGGGATACCAGATCAAAGACTTTTTGGAAATCAAGGTATACAATGTCAGACTCCTCTATCTTATCCAGGTGGTGAGCTACCTGATCATAACAGGAGATGAGGTTGGTAAGACAAGACCTACTGCGATGAAGCCATGCTGGCTGTTATTCATAATCCTACCTTCTGCAAACCTATTGCACAAAGACTCCTTAATGAGTTTTTTCCAGGATTTTCTCTGGGATAGAAGTTAGGCTAATTGCTCTATAGTTACCCAGGTCCTCCCTCTTCCCCTTCTTGAAGATGGACACAACATTGGCCCTCTTCCAGTCCACCACTCCAGAGTGCCACAAGTTTTAGAAGAGTTTCTCCAGGGGCCCCACAATGACTTTGGCCAGCTCCATTAGCACACTTGGATGGAGTTTGTCTGGTCCTACTGACTTATATATGTCTAATTTCTTTAATTGATCATACATCAGTTCTACAGCAATAGTGGGGAGGTAGTCGTTCCTGCCCTGCTCATTTTGTACCCTATGTGGCATGGTTTTCCCCTTGGCCCAGTAAAATATCAAAGCCAAGTAGTCATTCAGAAGTTTAGCTTTCTCCTGAGTGCCATTAACCAGCTGTCCTGAGTTGTTGAGCAATGTTCCCGCACTCCCATTTGTTTTCTCCCTGTTCCCTATGTAACTGAAGAAGGGCTTCATGTTGTCCTTGATTCCTGTTGCTAATCTAAGTTCAGTCACCGCCTTAGCCTTTCTAATTTGTTCCCTACAAGTGTAGGCTGTTGTTGTATAGTCCTCCTTGGGGCCTGTCCCCAGCTTCCATTGTTTATACACCTCTTTCTTCTTTGTTAGGAGGACCATGAATTCCCTGTTTAGCCAAGAGGGCTTCCCAGCCCTTCTAGTACCTTCCCTCCCAATGGGAATGGATTTCCTTTGTGCTTCAAGGATCGTGTCCTTAAGGAACAACCACTCTTCATGCACTCCTTTCACCTTCAGTCCCAAGTCTCTCAGTGCTACCCCTACTAGTGACCTGAGCTTGTTGAAATTTGCATTTTTGAAGTCCAAGACTTCAACCCTGCTATCAGATTTGTCTACCTTGTGACAGACAGTGAATGTGATGGTCTTCTGGTTGCTGTCACCCAGGCTACCCTCTATATTTAAGTCGGTCACCAGGTCACCTCCTTTGGCCAGGACAAGTCTAGGAGAGCACTACCTCTGGTTATCCTGTGCACCTCCTGACCCAGGAAGAGCTCTTCAATGCAGATCAGGAAGGAACGTGACCGGTCTGACTTAGTCAAGTGTTGCTCCCAGGAGGTGTCTGGATAATTGAAGTTGCCCATGACGACCATGTCCCATGCACGTGCGGCCTCTGCTAGTTCTTGGGCAAACTCTAGATTGAGTTCCTCCCCTGGTTTAGTGGCCTGTAGTATACTCTCCCGGTCCCCCTCCCCCCTCCACCTCCTCGGCAGCTTGACCCAGAGGGTTTCAAGCCGCTCTTCTTTGGAGCCAATGTCAGCCTTCAAGGAGGTGTACTGCTCTTTCACATAGAGAGCTACACCTCTACACCTCCACCTTTCTTCCCTACCCAGTCCCTTCTATGCAGGGTGTAGTCCTCTATGGCTATGCTCCAATCTTGTGAGGAGTCCCACCAGTTCTCCATAATTCCTACTAGGTCATAATGCCCATCAGAAAGCAGGAGGACTAGCTGCTCCTGCTTGTTCCCCATGCTCTTGGCATTAGTGTACAGGCACCTGAGGCCTCCTGTTGAGACCCTTGGCTTCTTGTCATGCTGAAGGAGAACTGTTCCCTCAGCTCCCACAAGAGTGGCTCTCCTAGTGTCCCTATCTATGGAGCTTTCTTGTACATCGGTCCCTGGGCAAGCTCAAGTCAGTGTTTCCCCTTCCCCCAGCAATCTTAATTTAAAGCCCTATCTAGAAGATCAGATACCCTGGCTGAGAACAGGGGCTTACCTCTCTGTACGAGGTGGATGCCATCTCTTCCCAGGAGTCCAATCAAAATTTCCCTCAACAAAGCCATCAGAATCTACAGATCATACATGCATTTATCTCAAAATGTGGTAGACCTCATCTAGTGCACTATATGCCCTCATGGAAACTACATGAGTGAAATCAGACAAAACAACTGTGCCCGGGAATGAATAATGGTTGTAAAAAGATAAAGCACAGACGCACTATAACACAGGTAAAACATTTTTCACCAAAAAATCACTCCCTCTATGATCTCACAGTTCTAGTGCTCAAAAGAATTCTCCCTGATGCCTTTACAAGAGAAGCACAGGAACAGATATTCATCGGCATATTAGACACTGAGCATCAGGGACTTAAGACAGACAATGACTTCATGGTACATTATAATCTTCCTGATACTTGCTATCCCCTGCAATTCACAGGAAATAAGGACCCAACTTAACAAGCTTTTGTTCCATCTGGTATTTAGCTCAGCTGTGTCTGCTTCTGTCACAGAAGCCTGAGGAAGGATACTACGGTAACTGGAAGCTTGCCTATGTCTGTACTAATCATACAGTCCAATAAAAGCTATCACCCACAAGAATTCTTGTCTTTCTAATAAGTTATGTCTCTTTATGTGGCACTGAAGTGGCTACAATACTTTTTGTTTTGGGATGTGGTATGTACAAACCAACCATAGTTGGGACTATGGAATTCACGATTGCATGATTTTTTGTGGAAACCACAAAACTAGGCATTCTCCATGATTTCAATGGGCTCACCGAAAAAATAAAACAAAAATAAACCCCTCACTGGAAATAAAATGCTGGTTCCCCAGAAGGAGGAAACAGTCTTCATGACACTGTGGCCTGGCCATGCAGCCCACTGGGGGGCAAGGGAGGAGCAGGCTGCTAGCATGAAAGATTGCCACAACAAAGGGCTGTCAGCAAGATGGCTTCTGGCCCCACTCCTTGCTGCTTATTGGCTGAGAGCACAGCCTGTTGTGTAGCCCCGCCCCCCAAAGTAAAACAATTGGTGACAATGGGCAGGGATGCGTGGTGGGCAGCCCTCACAACCAATCAGTGGCAAGGGGAGGGGCCTGTGGTGTCCCTAAGTCAATCAGAGGCATGTGGGAGGCTCCCCCCACACAGCTTGTGAAAATGGTAGCTGGCCCCAGGATCTACCTGTGAAATTGGCTGGCTGCCTCCTTGAGTTAGGTAGACACCTAACCATAGTGCCTCAGTCCTGAAGTCATGGCTGAATGATGCCCAAAGTGAATCTGTATCCTCCTCTGCTATAAAGCTGATCTCTCAGACTATAGCACCTCATGATATTTAGATCCCAGATTCCTGTGTTTGATTCCTGCAGACAACCTGACAAGGTGCAGACATCAATACATTTATTTCCTATGCAGAATATGTCCACTCCTATGAATTGAGGATTTGAGTATATTGTCTTATCTACTTACCGTAACTGGCAGCAATTTCTGTCTTTTGGTTTTGGTAGGCTGAAGCCAAGTCCATCAAGTAGCAGAGTACCTGCTCTCAGACCAGTAACAGGAAGGATTGACAGACCCCAGTGCCAAACACCATTCTCGGTAAGTACCTGATCATATCTTAAAGTAAGGTTTCAATAAACTGAATGGAGTCCAGGAATATATATATATTCTCATGTTGCCATATTTCTGGGGAAATGCAATGGATTACACAGTGGGAGTTTTAAACTATGTTTATAGATTTCTGAAATGTATACATAAACTTCCCCAAGGTTTTTGCTTACTTTAGGACTATGGCATTATTATGATGTGTACAGTGCACAATACAATGAGGGGGTCCAAAGAATAGACACAATGGAAATGCTTCTGTTCAGGGAATGCATGGGTGCTGTAGGGCTGGAATTGTTCCAAAAAAGGGTGCATGGGGTTGATCTGTGGCTTACTGCTTTCTTCACACTGTCTAGTAGAGCAAGGCACATCTGGGAGAAGATGCATCTTCTGAAATGGTGGTAGCAGGACTGCACTACTCTGGTATTTCCTGGAACATTAGCAGGTATATGCTAGCTAGAAACACTGTGCCTCCTAGAGCTCACATTAGTGTAATACTGTTCCACTTTGCTCCCAAGTAAGGAAGCATCTTAAAGAAACAGTGGAGTCCTTTGCGTTAGGAAGGTAACCAATAATTGCCACCAGAAAAGGCATTTTCAGGACAATGATTGAGGTAAAGCTAGTAATGAAGGTATGCCTTCATGGTGATTAGCAATCAGGGATGAACCTAGCTCACTACAGAGCCCTGAGTTAATGCATCCTCACTGGTGATCACTATTTTGTGTGTGCCCCTAGGACTTCTAGGCCACATCCCATCATGCTTTGTGCTGGAATAAGTTGATCTGCTCTACAATTTTTTCCCAGTGAAATTCAGAGGAATTTGACTGTCCTTCTCAGCATGACAGGAACGGTTGGAAAGCAGTGGAGGACAATTAGCATTTCAGTGATTAGCTTGCATCCCCACTGCACAGTGGACAGGTTTTCAGCCAAGTGGAAATAAAACCCATCCCACAGTTGGGACAGCTAGCCTGAGATGAAAGTACCATGTAAGTAGAGTGAGAACATTTAATGAGTGGACAGAAGAAGGATTAGGGACAGTGCCTAAGTAAGACCTTAGTCTAACACTCTAGGGAAGATGCATCTTACCTGTCAGAAAAGCCTGGTCTGGCTTCATCACTGTGAGAAAACAAAGGCAAAATGTGCAAGTGCTTCTTCAGTACTTACTCAGACCTTAGTTAGTAAAGCTGCCCTCGGCCTGGGTCAATCCAGGTCAATCCTGTGTTGGGCAAACTCTTTTTGCCTTCAGTTGGAATTTTGCTTTAGCAAGAAGCAGAGTGAAAACTGAGAAGGGACGCCAGGATTTCATCCACTTGGAGCTGTGCCTGACTGAAGAATAGCTTCTGAATTTAACTCAGATCATAATTCTGTGATTATGTTAGTATGGAGGCAGTGTAACTTTTGCAACTATGGCCTTTCCCTAGCAGTGACAAGTTCCTTAACAAAAGGGTAGAAGCAGGTCATTTTCAAATTCCATTAGGTTTATAATAGTGGTATAAAGCATTTGTTCTAGTCATATATTGTGCATGAGGTTTCACTTTTGAACTCTGAAGACAGAGATGAACCTCTCATTGCATGGATAAGACTTATACTGTTGATGTATGTACCTCAAAACCTCCAGATGTTCCATCAGGTAAGAACAGAACATTTCAGATGCGTCTCAAGGATTGCACGCTCTTGCATTTATCCAGAAGTGCAAAGTTTTATGAAACTGAAAAATAACTGAGAGAAAGCCATGGAATTTTTTTCAAACCTGAAAGACTAAATGAAATTAATTGCAAATGTTGGATCTGTTTATAATTTAGAAAAATCCAGTTTCTACTACTAAATTAATAAAACTTTTCATATTAGTGAAAATGACAAGACACAAAGTAAAACTGAAAAGTTCCATTAAGTAGCTATATTAAGCAAATGACATAACAGAAGACTCACTTTTTAATGAATGAAAGAAGTACTGTGCTTTAATCTCATACTTTAGGCCAGGGGTTGCCAACCAAGGGTACGTGTACCCCTGGTAATACTTGGGAAGGCCCCAGGAGGTACGCAGCAGTAGTGCGGAGAAGCGGAGACGCTTCCAGTTTCTCCGGTGGCACTTCCAGTTTTGTCTCTGGTGCTCCTGGTTTTGCCACTGCACACAGGAAGCCCCCTCCCCCCACACTCATTGATCAGCTGCTGGAAGATGCCCCCGCCCTTCCCCCCCCCCGCCCTGCTCGTCAATTGGCAGGGGGACTCCCTGCTTCTTGACTGGCTGGTGGGGGTACACCAACCAAAAAAAGGTTCAAAGCCCCTACTTTAGGCTTTAGTTAAACAATTGGAAAAGGATTCAGCAGTATGGAATAATACTATCAGCAACTGTTTGATTCGAATTTAACTTTAGTCTAAATGTGCATTAAATAACCTCATCTCTGGAACATCATCTTCATACACAATATCTAGTACCTTCTATGTCCCAGCACTCCTGAGCGTCATAATTGAGATGGGTGGCTTTTGTTATTCATTGACTGTGAACAAAACTATAGGGACCTGAACACAACAGAGCTTGGAACTGGGAAAGTGCTTAGTGCCCAGGGGTCTCCTGGCTCCTGAACTCTTCTGGCTGAATGTCACATCTTCTACTGCAGAGCACTATCCCTCTCTTTTTATTTCTCACTCCCCAAAAAAGAACTCAGAGTTTATAAAAGTTAATTCCGTTGAGGCTTGTGAAAATGTGATTATTCTGGTAATAGTGAAAAGGTAATGAAAATACCAATTTTCTGGCATTACAGAAAGCACGATGAAAATGCTTTTCATTTGGGCAACCCACAAAAGCAGATGAAAGTACCTATCATTTTGGTGATCCAGAAAGGTAGCTAAGAATGCCAATCGTTCTGGTAATTTAGATGAGACCATTAGCCTAACAATCCAGGAAGGGTCATGACAGTGCCCATTGGTTAGGGCTATTGGCACTGTTAAGAACTTAGATTTCTTAGTTGAGTCTGGATGAATAAAACAGCATGTTTGCCCTCTTAGAAGCCATTAGTGCCTGTGAGCTCAATCATGGTGTCTAATCTCAAATTAATTCAGACTTTAATCACTTGTTCAGGTCATTTATCAGCCAGGGCTCTTCCTGTCCTTCCAGGATTAGTACATCACTCCATAGCACCTTAAGCTGTGGCCTGCCAGTGACCTTCTTAGCAGCCATACAGGCAGAGGAAGGAAGGGATGTAACACATTTCCTTATTTAAAAAAGACACCGAGAAAAAAAGTTACCCATGTCAAGCTTCTGAGCAGACTCCTGCCTGCAATTGACATTGAGATGCTTCAGTTAATGAACATAGTAAGGCTGGTGGTTGAGGTAACATGATTTAAGAATAAGAGTTAATAGACTTGTGTGACGGAGTCAAGAAAAGCTTAACAGAATGGCTGAATTACCCTTCTGTGCCTCTGAGATCTTTGTCAAGGAAAGGAATGTGCAGTAGGATAATAGATGTATTTGGAGTGACTACAAAGCTGTAATTCACTCTAGGGGCTCCAATGATGTCATAAACCAGGAGAAAACAACTTCAGCACTTTAGGAATAGAAGCACTGAACAAAGCCTTGAGAGTGAATTTAGCTTTGTATTGACTCCTGGGCCATCAGTGTTATTTATAACATACACTGCACAACTTTAACTTTTCAACAGGAGTGGACAAGTACTTTATACCCTGGCCATCTAGCTGCCTGCAGGCATTCTCCATCTATGCCATGTACCAACAGCTAGGTTGGGCACTGGCTTCTGCCATATTTTCCATTTCCCCCTAAAGTGGCTTTGATAGGCGCATGTGATTTTGCAATGTAAAAACTAGATTTTGAGGTACTGATTTTACACATGTTTTTGCAAGACCTTAAAAAGGAACCTAATTAATGTGTTTGGATCTACCTCCTATTTAATGGTAATTAATTCGCGTTGCCTGATATTGTTCTTGGAGTACTTAGGTTAGTAGGGAGGAGTTGAGCAAAATGAAAGGAAATTGTCAAGTTGTTACAGAAGGATGCTGAGAGTCAGAGGTTCTAGGGTCTGTCACTGGCTTAGCCATCTTTTTCACTGTATGGCTTTGGGCAAAACATTTGATCTCCTTGTGCACTTCTATTTGTGAAATGGGGACATTCATGGCAATAAAGTGACTTTTACATATTGCACAGTATATTCAAGAACATATTAAAAAAAATCAAAATAGCCCTTACAACATTTTTTTAAAGGCAAAAGGGGAAAACATGATAAAGTCCTGCTGTGTCCACAGGAATATTCTGCAGAGTCACTGCAGAAACTTGACAGCAACACTACTTTTATATTATATCAGGAGCAGACACTCCAGTCCAAAAGGGAGCCTTTGTGGTAAATTCTGTACAAGCACAGAGGCAACAGTCCCTCCTAGAGAGGACTGGCATAAAGGATGAACTCCCTGCCTTGCCATCTATAAAATAAAGCAACTAATGCTTCCATGCCTAAGGTGATTGTGAGGATAAGTAGATTTAGCACATGAGCACCCTTTGTGTACTGGGGCAGTAGTGACCCCATTTCTGATCCTTTTTATAGATTAACTTGGAAACCTGACTGGTTTGCAGTGTTGTTTTGGTGCTAGGCTCAGGATCAGTGTGGGAATATTTTGTATGAAATAATAGCATGAGTAGTGTTTAGAAATATTCCTGGTAATAATATATTTCTGACCCATCTTCCGTTTCCCTGTCATCTCTCATAATTTATATTTTCTAGTCCCAAACTTCCCACACGCATTCAAAAGACATAATTCTAAGTGTAGATAATTCTGTCAAGTGAGAGGGTATGGAAAATCTGAATCTGGATAACATCAGTTCTGAGGGCAGTCAGGGAAGCAGACTGAATTCAATGGCAATGAGTGCTTTTGGAAATGACATCCTGTACATATCCATGTTTTGTCACTGAGGTCAAAGTCTCTCTCAGAGAGATTTCTGGATCTTTGATTTTCCAGTGTCCAAAGGTAAGATGCTGTTGCCAAAG